ATCAGTGTACTTCGTTCCAGTTACGTATTGCTCTGAAGAAAAAAAAACTTCAAATTTAATCAGATAAAACAACTGGGAGATGAGCAGGTAAATCGTCAGACCATCTTATGACAATTACCTTCCACACACCTGAGCACCACAGCCTTGATATATATATACGAGAAGACAATCATCCAATCCCATGTAGAGAGTAACACAAGAAGGCACTGAATAACAACAAATTAGCTGATCATCTATCAGTTCACCGAATCACCAGTAATAAAGATGAACTCAGATGTAGACTCTTCCCCCTAGACTCCTCCCCTCCTCCTGAATATTCCCCACTGAAGCTGATGTGTGTATAAGTTTGGCTATGTTAAGAGAGGTGGCTGAGGGAGAGCAATAGACTACACGTGTATGAGCCCTAAACACAGGTCTTGTGCACTTCAAGGTCGGTATATTGTGTCGGAGGGCTTCTACACATCCGCGCTACTCTAGAGAGGTTCACTTTAGCCATCAGAGGAGTGGTCAATATTTCTCAAGTTACACAAATCACCATGATGAACGGAGTGATTACTGATGGTTCTGTCCTCGTCATCCCTACCACCACCACCACCACCACCACCACTACTACTACCACTACTACTACTACTACTACTACTACTACCTATCCTACTACCTATCCTGCCACTACTACTATTACTATCATCGGGACTGTCCCTACTGAACACCACAGTCACTACTATTGTCATATAGTCTAATTGTTATCATCATCATTATAACTAACACCATTGAAATCATCGTCATCGTCACTATCATCAGTAATGCTTCTGTTCTCATCATACGCTAACTGTTGTCACCGCCATCCCCCACCACAACCATCACCATAACCACTACAACCATCACCATAACCACCATCGCAACCAGTAATAGATTATCACCACCTTATTTTCCTCCACCACCACCACCACCACCCAGAGAACCCCCCACCCCCCCATGTTGTTGGGGCTAGCCCTAGGGGGGGTCACAAGGGCCACCTGGACGGGACCAAGCAGGGGGCCACTGGAGGGCGACAGAGGGCCACAATAGACCACCCTCGATTGGAGTAGGTCGTGGAGAGGTGGTCCTTGAGTGCCGGGGAGGACGACAATGGCCCACCCTCCACGACTTGAGTTAGTTCCCACGAAGACCACCTCGGAGGGCGTGTTGGAGTACCGATTCCCAGCCTCTTTATCGTTAAATTGACCAAGAAATTCCGAAGATGTTGGGAACTGGGGTTCATAAATTGGCTTTATTAATCGATTCGCGCCAACCAATGGGTCTGGCCACCAACTCTCTACTTGAATACCAATTTTGTTTGTTAATGATCCCGACGGGGTCTACTGGCTGTGTATTGATGCCGAAGGGTTTTGATGTTGGTGGAGTCTTTAATGATTCCAGAGTTCGGTATTGAGTGGTGTTTTAGTGGTTAGAAGAGGAGGACACTAGAGGGAGGGAAAGGCAGAGAAAAAAAAAAGGCAGGAACAAGTGAAATTTTCCTTGAGTATACCATTAATTACCACGATAATTCCCGTTTTCTGATGTCCTCCACACACACACACACACACACACACACACACACACACACACACACACACACAAACAAACAAACAAACAAACAAACAACGGCATCACTGAATTATATTTACCTCGCAGTACTAATTAACAAACAGGTGTTATTTGTTAGTTTAATTATGTCACCTGGCCGGGATAGACAGGTTCTTAGGAAAGGTAAGTAAGGTGATGATTGTCTTGAAGGAGTTTGAAGTTTATTATCTGATATCTCTCTCACACTCGTTGATTTGATGAGCGATAAATTATAGTGGAGAGGGTCAGGAGGCGAAGGGGGTTAACGTCAGGAGAGGGAGTTAACGTCAGCAGATGATGGGGTTAACGTCAGCAGATGATGGGGTTAACGTCAGGAGAGGGAGTTAACGTCAGCAGATGATGGGGTTAACTTCAGCAGATGATGGGGTTAACGTCAGCAGATGATTGGGTTAACGTCAGGAGAGAGGAGTTAACGTCAGCAGATGATGGGTTAACGTCGGAGATGATGGAGTTTACAGTCAGCAGATGATGGGGTTAACGTCGGCAGAAGATGGAGTTTACGTCAGCAGATGATGGGGTTAACGTCAGCAGATGATGGGGTTAACGTCAGGAGAGGGAGTTAACGTCAGCGGATGATGGAGTTAACGTCAGCAGATGATGGGGTTAACGTCAGTAGATGATGGAGTTAACGTCAGCAGAAGATGGGGTTAACGTCAGAAGATAAGTGGGTTAACGTCAGGAGAGGGAGTTAACGTCAGCAGATGATGGGGTTAACGTCAGAAGATGATGGGGTTAACGTCAGGAGAGGGAGTTAACGTCAGCAGATGATGGGGTTAACGTCAGAAGATGATTGCGTCAACGTCAGAGGATAGTGAGATAATTAAAATACAAAATAATTAGATAAACGATGAGAGGAAACGAAGAAAATAACGATATGAATAAATTGTAACTTGAAGAAAACTTAAGACAGGAAATCATTAATGAAATCTAGTCACGAATGAGTTAACGAAAACAAAAACAAATGACGGCTGCTATAACGAAGATGTGACACAGTGATGATGATGATGATGTGACACAATGATGATGATGATAATGTGACACAATGATGATGATGATGATGATGATACGGAAAGGGTTAGAATTTATTAAGAGCGGTCGTATGTATATATGTATGTACAGCATGTATGTATATATGTATGTATGTATGTATGCATATGTATGTATGTATGTATCATTAGCAATAGTGGGAATAGACGTAGGAGTTAACGAGGTCTGTTTCTCAACGCCTGAGTTCTGATGATTATTTTTGTTTTTTTCTCAATAAAACGATCTCTTGTGAGCCTTGAAAAGAAGACATTCAACTGGAGCAATTAAGAGGAAAAAATCAAGAGAGATCAAGTGTCTTTACGTTCTCTTTCGTGGTAAATCATTTGCATAATAGAACCCTTTGGAATTTTGATCGAGGGCGGAAAGGCGGTGAGTGTCGAGGCTCAAACCCAAACTCGATTTTTTTTTTTTTGTAATTTCAGAGTTTGATTACAGGAATATATTTCTCTCTGAAGGATTTCGAGAACTGCTTTTAGAAGTTTGGGGGAGGAGGAGGGGGAGAGGTGAGAAGGATAAGAAAGATGAGGTGGAGGGAATGGGAAGAGAGAGGTAAGTAGGTAGGTAGGAAAGGGGTAAGAAGGAAGGTGAAGGGAAGGAAGAGAGGAGAGGGGTAGGGAAGGAAGGAAGGAGAAGGGAGAAAGGTATAGGGAAAATGAAAATGGGTAAGGAAAAAGGGGAAAGGGTAAGGAATGAGGGAATGGAGTAGGAAGGGAGGAGGGGAAGGGATCATAATCAAACGAAGAGGAAATCGCCTGATTGGGAAAGGAAAGGAAGGGAATTTGGGTCGTGGGGTGGACTGTGTTAAGGGTCAATATAAGGCAAAGGGTGTTGGACCTTCATCACCTCCCTGATCACTACAGAACTATTGGTGAGAGAAAAAAAAATGTGTGTGCACTTTTCATGTTAGTGTGTGTGTGCGTGTATGTGTGTGTGTGTGTGTGTGTGTGTGTGTGTGTGTGTGTGTGTGTGTGTGTTTAGGGGGGGTAGATATTTTTATTGAATACCTTTATAATATCCAGAAATATTATAACGTGTCTACATCCCCCATATATCACCTACATATATACACACACA